GAATGCATTTCTTTGCTGCATCCAGATTGAAATAACGAGCCACATTGAAAAGACTGTGTTAAAACGTGAAATAACTAAATTTTATGGGAAAGTAATAAAACTTAGGACCTTGCAGTAGCACATGTTGATAGTATGAAGTAACTGAGACAAAGAAAATGGCTTAGGAAGCAGTATGCTAGAATAGCTCTTTGAGTGCTGGGCCACAACAGGTTTTGTCCTGTACAGGACCCCAGGAACTCTTCTCGGCTTAAACTGAACTTGTGTTTATTTAACTTTGCTGTAGTATTTCTTTCTGCTTCTGAATTTATCAATAAAATCTGGTTTTATTTAAGTTAATTTGTGTATGTCTTGGATAAAACAAACTCCTCTACTTTTTCCTTGGTGGGAGTGAGTAGGGCCGAGGCCGTTAATGGCCTTGTGGTTGGGCAGTTCATGGGAGAAGTCTGAGAGTCTCCCTGGACGCAACCACAGACCCCCAAGAGTTGCTATCAACAAAGGAAAAGGTAAAGATAAAAATATTGAATGTTTTTTATTACAAAGAAAACACAGGTCTGTAGTGTGGCTTTAGTCTATTAAAGTTCTCTTTGCAATGTCAAACATTCTGCATTATGTTGGGATCAGGGAAGGCGCTGTCAATGCCCTGGTTTAGTTTCCACATGACAACTTCACCTTTCCTATAGGTTGTGGTTTCTGCTTGTGACACAGTAAGAAACAGGATTTATGCTAACATCCTGAACATTAAAGATTGAGAGCTATTTGAACACCATATATGTTGTAAAGCTGCTAATGTTTTGGTGCCAGCGCCAACTCGATTTTTTACACAAAATACTTGTCTTGAGCTGTGTCTCTGTAGGGTGGGAAACTGGGTGTTGGCTGAGCGGCCTGCTGAGGCCCAGCGAGAGCCATGCTTGCTTTAAATAATATTCATGGAATACCCACAAATCATATTTCTTAGATTTCCTCAGAAAAGATTATTATTACTTTTAATCTTAATGGGGCCAAAAGGTTAAGACAAATCTGAGTAATCAAACAGCCTGTAAAATACGAGTTTGGATAAGATTTTCAGGTCAGGGACAGCTGCAGAAAATTCTGTCAGCTTCTGCAGAGAAAAATAGTTGTGGGACTTCAGGTTTATGTTGCTTTAAGGGAGGTAAGTACTTCAGTTACCAGCCCATTTGTAAGAAGGGTTTTGTTTTAAAGAGGAAAAAATGTCTTATCTTTGGGGGTCAGAAGTTCTCTCTGTTGAGTAATGTTCACAAAATCTGTTCTCTGCCCATCCATTAGTAGTTAGATGGAGAACCCAGCAGCATTAGTGTAGCTCTACTTCACTGTCTGGACTACTTACTGTATTTGTTATGGTTGTGACAAGCAGCTCTTCCTATGTCCTTAATCATGTGTAGACACGAGTAGCAGGTAGTCAGTCTCTCTGCCAAAAAGATTTTCCTGTCTAATTGGACAAGGCTACTGGAGGAGGAGTATGTAATGCATGGAGTTAACATTATCTGATAGAAAGTGCTATATTTGTTACATGATTCTATTTTATTTATCTTTTTTAGTTTTGATTAGGAAGTGGTAAGTCAACTGGGATGAAACTGTCCAGGAAAGAAGGCAAAGTTAGATGCTGGGGAGAAAACCATGCAAGGGTTGTGTTGCAAGGGTACAGCTGAGGGAGGAACAGTGGGAAAAAGGTTCAGAACAAGCAGCTGAAGGGCACAAGGTCGAGGGAGTCCTGCCAAAATCTGCTTTCTCTGCTTCGGCAGTTTTTCTAGTTGCTCCTGCTGTCTGGGCTTTCTTGCTTCTTTTTTCTTCAGGTAATGTAGTTGGGAAAGAAGGAAAAAGCAGCACCCAGATTCTTGCACTTTGGAAATTGTTTTCCCATACATAAATTTCAGTCCAGTACAGTCCAGTAAAGAGGAATTATCCTTTTTGAGGCCTAGTTGGTTTATTTGATCCCCCTTTACTTACAACAGGTCCTGAGCCTTACCATAGTCTTGCATCACTCATACCTGTACATGTTTCAGTCCCTGCCTTGGAACTCCATTCTCTTGTTTTCACTTAATAATTTTTTAAAGACTTCTAGAATACTCAGGAAATGCTTTGTTTCTTTTTTGAAAATGGAATTTAAAGTAATGTATTATACTACCCTATCTCTGAATATATTTTTGCCACTTCTGCTTTTTTATGTTGCCTTTTGAGTGACCCCAT